TTGATAAACAGGAATTCCAACGAGCTGTGCAGGCACATTTTAATTAATTTTCCCCACAATGTCAGTCAGCAAATAGCTTTGGATGTGTCTAAGAAATACTGTTTCCTGTTCTCTATAGTACAGTACTATTATTTCTTCAAAGGAAGGTTAGAAAGGATTGAGAGGACAGCAATAAAACTCCTAAAGAATGGGTTAGCATTTTGGGAGTGGCAAGAGTCCCCAAAATATTAACATTATTTAACACAATTAACATTTTATTTACTTTGACATTTCCTAATCTTGTAATGTTTTAGGAATAATTTTCCCTAACTTCTGCTACAATTTCAACAAGTCCAAGTATATTCTTAGAAAACAAGTAACTAGTCTCAACAGCATTTTCCTTGTGGTTCTCCCCAGTTATCTAATTGCCATGAGTATGACTACTGTTGAGAGCCTCAAGGAGAATTTGAATTTCACAGCATCAAATCTCACCTTTCTTCTTCCCTTCATACAGAGGATGAAGATGTTTCCTCTGATTTGCTCAAGGTAACACTTTACTAGAAACATGATGCATGACTACATTAAACAAAACACCAACAAAACAATTGTGAGGTGTTGGAACACAAGGAGAGATTTTGTTCCTTTTTTCCAACAGCTCCAAGAGAATCAAAATGGGGAAAATATGAGTAATTTTTTTTTCTAATTATGAAAGTGACACAGGTAGGAACCTAATGAAGTTCCCCCATTCCCATGTTTTTATATATGCTCTGCACCATAACATTCCACATGTATTAAGTCATCACTTCAGATTGTAATCATTTCAGATGAAGCAGACTTTGGGTTTTGTGTGTAGCTGGTTAAAGAAGAAAGATATATTTATAATTAAAACATTTAAATGCTCTTATGGTACTTACTAGTTACACATGATATAGTACATACGTAAAAATATCTTCAGCTTTACTCAAGAAAGGAGGTGTTAAAAATTAGTTGATCCACTTAACTAAATTTATGATAGCTATGATACTTCTTGTGCATTAACCCTTGGGATCACTATGCGACAATTCCCAGTAGTATAAAATTATGAAAATCACTGGGGAAGGAGGAGTAGTTTGTTGCAGCTGTGCTCAACTTTACACAAACTCTGTTTATTCTATGTCTGGGATGTGCTAGCACTAATATGTCTGAGTAAACAAGGTATTGTGTTATGATTCAGGTAACCTGTACTGTGGTGGCAGGGATCTGCTGCACAATCCTTCACACGTCAGCGTGCCACAGTGTTCCCTTTTCTACTTCTTTCATCTTAACAGTGACAGATGTTTGAGACTAGAATAGTGTATTATACTGTATTTCTTTTTTCCAAATGCTTCCAGGCCTGGCTTTGCTTGAGGTCTTAGATGCTAACGAAATATAAATGATAATGCAGGCACTGAGCTCCAAGTGTTTCCTAGCAGTGTAGTTGAAGATGCATTTGAAATAATACAGGACTCATTTGTCCTACAGGATTTTTTAATGTCTTGCACAGAGCTCACATTTTCAGATGAGTGTGCTTTGAGGTCAGGGCAAGAATTCTTCTCACATAAGCAACTCAGTTGAAAATAATTTACTTGAGAGGCTTAATCAATTTCCTTTTGAATGCATCCAACTTTACAGTAAAGCAGCATTTCAGTGATGGAGTACAGAAAAACATACTGGAAAGGTTTCTTTTATTTATAGGATTTTAATTTGACAGAAGAAAGTTTGTCTCTTGCAGAGTGTGGATTACTAGAAATACATTAACTTTCGGGAGAAGAAATTTTTGCCACATCATTCTAATATTTTTGTCAACCACCTGATGAGTCAACTAGGATAATATAAACTTATCTGAATTGTCATATCTTCACTGAAATTATTGGTTATCCTTTAGACATCAAAAATACCCAGAGGACCAATTTTTAGCAGGAAGGATAGAGTGATTATGAAATCAGGCCCCAAGTACTTTGGACTGCACAGCAGCAGCTGATACAGGTTTATTCTTTCCACTTCCACAAGTTATTTAACGCACTAGTTGGGCAAACTCTGATCATTCTGCATTAGGTAAAATACCCTTTCCCAACCAAATATTAGAATCTAAATCATATCTTCATCGTCTCACCACTATTTTCCACATTCCACTGGAATCATTAGTATTTTGGACTCAATGAAGATGGCAGAGCTTGGTCTGCCATAGGTGCGTGGTCCACTGAAAATTCATACCTTGAATTAAACGCAGATTATTGTAGAATTGTTAATGGCTACTCAAAGCTTTCATGTACATCCATGTTATTTGCATATGGCTTTAGGGATGTATATATTAATATATACCTAGATAGATAAATATAACCTTAAATAGTTTGAAAGCTTTGGCAGAACATAAAAGTGAACAGTGAATGCTCCAGAATTTTGATGCAAAACAGGGGTTTAGAGAACTCAAACCCAAGAATATACACCCCATAACACCATAAAGAGACAACTTTACACATAGCATTTGTTTGCAACCCTGTATCAGAATAAAACCTGCAAATTAAGGTAACATATTACAGTATACTAATATGTAAATAGAGATAAATAGAGAAAAGTATAGGGAAATGTTGAAAAAGAAAATTGTTGTCAGAGGACAGCAGAAAGAGAGAGATGTAAACTACAATAATAACTAACGAAAATAAGAAAAGATCAAAGTTAAGAAAAGAATCACAAAGGATGTAGTGGACATCTTGAGAAAGTCTTCCTAAGGGTGCATATAGGGAGAGGAAAACTATGATATGAGAAGGACAATTCTCAGAAAATAAAGCTGTCAGACATAAGAAAACTTAACCAACACAATATCTGGATAGAAATTCCATGGATTGCAAGTCAACTAGTGTTAAAATATATTGTGTTAGACCACACTTTCAATTAAAGTAAAGAAGGTACCAGATACAAATTTACAGCAGACAAGATTCAGATAGGAGATATAAAGATCAAATACCTATTTCATTTTCACAAAAAAAAAAAAAAAAAAGAATGGCACTTATTTCTGCATAGACTCTCATGCCTTAAGACCCTTTTAGTTTTTTGATTTTTCTTTTATAAGCTTTATAAGTAATTATAGTAGAAGTAGGTTTTAGAAGCAACAACCCTTATTCCCTCACCCTTTAGCACAATAGTTTACACATTTCCTACCCCATCGCCCCATTCTGTGTTCCCCATATCAATTCTACCCCTGAATTCCAGTAAAAAATGGTTAGTCTTTTGTCAAGGTAGGCCTCTTCTGTTTGAGGACATCTAATCCTGACCTGAACCGCAAGAGAACGGTCAGAAACTAGGTGACCGTGTGCCCTTTGTGCTCTGAAGAAGATGAAGATGATGAAGAAAAGCCCCCAGACCCAATTCCCGGGGGGTGGGCTGGGGGGTGGACCAGGGCAAAAGCTACGGGATGGACAAAACTTGGATTGGTCAGGCAGTATTATAAATTTTAAGACCTGAAAATGGCCTTGTGCATCTTGTGATCTTTATGCCTAGGCACAAATTAAAATCCTTTCCTTATCTCACCTCCAAAACTAATTGCCTCGGAGTTTTTTTCTGCCTGCATTTTCTTTAGGCGTCAACTTTATAGACTTTCAAAAAGCATCTAATAGAATTTATGAAATAAATTTAGACAAATTCCTGGGCTATTAAGGAATTTGACAAAAGATGTTACATAACTGTGATTAGATGAATCATTAGGAAATTAAATTTATGTATATATACTGCAATTTCAAGTATCAGTAGAGATACCTTATACCAAGTATGCTGGACTGGGAAAAACAAAGAATAAACCACCTCAAAATCAACCCATCCTATCCCCATCCAAAATCCACCCCTTAAACATTGAACACTGGTGGTCACTGATGAACATGAAATCCGAACAACAAAAAACAAAACCAAAACAAAGATATTCAGTATTTCAGGTATCTTGGCAACAAAAATATAACAATGAACAGATAAATCTTTGTAATCCTGAATCCAGGTAGACAAAAATAAAGCCTCTGGATATTAAAGTATGAATATTCAACAAAATATAAAGACAAATTCACCATGTAGAACTTCAAACTGTGGACTTAATTAGATTCTCCAACGAGATCTTCACAAACTGCTGTTTTAAAGAAATTTTCAGTATCTGATTGCCAGAACAAATGCTATGAGAAAAGACAAAAATAAAGCCATTTGGGATTAGAAATAACTGATCAAAAATTATAATATTTGGAATGCCTATAAGCACTAATAAGACTCACCCATGACAAGAATATTAAATGAAGAACACTGAAGTGGAAATAATCCATTCTGAAGATTTGAAAACAATTACTGTGGCAGAGATTATTACAAAAGACAAAGATAAAATAGCACAGCTGTCTCAACTGTACTCCAACGTTAATCTAGAAGACTAAATGAACAAATGAACATACCTTTCTGCTACATTTTTAAGTACATCTTACAGTTGATGTTTTGAACACAATTACACTTCCTTCCTGACCCCACAATGGATCTTGATGACTGCATAGTCACCTCAAAAACATATTTCTGTTGTCTGGTTAACTACATTAAAACGACTATTATAAAACCAGGATGGTGCCTCCCTGGACATGAGAAATAAAGAAATATAAAATATGAGAAATGTAAAGGAAAAGGACAAGGTAGCTTGAAGTCTACAAAAGATGGGGTATAGTAACAGGTTTGAGTATGCTACATGGAATTACAGAATATGCTGATTGGAAATGATCCACAAGGATCACTGGGTCCAACTCCTGGCCCTGCACAAGACCAGTCCCAAGAGTCATACCATATACCAGAGAGTATTGTTCAAATGTTTCTTGAACTCTGTCAGGTTTAGTGCTATGACCACTGCCCTGGGGAGCCTGTTCCAGCACCCAACCACCCTCTGGGTGAAGCATCTTTTTGTAATATCCAACCAAAACCTCCCCCGGAAAAACTTCAGGCCATTCCTTCAGGTCCTGTCACTGGTCACCCCAGAGAAGTCTACTCCTCCTGTTCCCCTCACGAGGAAGTTGCAGACTGCAACGAGGTCTCCCCTCAGTCTCCTTTTCTCCAGGTTGAAGAGACCAAGTGAACTCAGCCCCTCCTCATACAACTTCCCTTCAAGGCCCTTCACCATCTTCGTTACCCTCCCTAATAACTTAGTATCTTATATTGCAGTGACCAAAACTGCACACAGTTATGATCACTGCTGCCAGAGGATGATTGGGCACTGGAACAACCTCCCAAGGGAAGTGGTAACAGCACCAAGCCTGACAGAGTTCTAGAAGTGTTTGGACATTTCAAGGGGCGTAATACAAAAAACACATGTTTTGCCATAAGTGTACACTAGATTTCCAACAGAAGACTTGCCCATGAGATAACACAAGGATTTCAGAATGACTCATTTCCAAATGATTCATAATTATGAATGACTTCATGAACCAGATGGATAACATTATATTATGCTACATCTTAAGTAATTTTTAAACAAGAGGAGTGTCTCAAGATGCTAGCATTCATCTCTCCCCTAGTAAGCAATGTTCATCAATGCCTCTATGTAATTCCAGAGCATTAATGCCCTTACACTAGCAAAACCATCATTACTTTGATATGTTTCTCACCTTATTGGGATATAAAACAAATTCCAGAGAGTTTTGGATCAGCAATATTCATTAGAAACTCTGGAACTTTCAATAAATGTTCATATTTCATCTTCATTTTTTGTTTTGTTTTTTTTTTCATAAAAGCACTCAAGAAGCACAAATCTGTACAGATTACAGAGTCTTAGAACACTTTAAGTTGGAAGAGACCTCAAAGATCACCTAGTCCTAACCCCTCCACCACAGGAAAGGACATTTTCCACTAGATGATGTTGCTTAAACCCCCATTTAATCTGGCCTTAAACACTTAGAAGAAATGGAGTATCCACAGTTTCTCTGGGAAATCTGTTCAAGTGTCTCACCACCCTCACAGTAAAAAATTTTTTCCTAATATCTAATATAAATCACGTCTCAATTTAAAACCATTACCCCTTATCCTATCACTCCATGCCCTCATAAAAAGTCTATCTCCAGCCCTCTTGTAGGCCCCTTTTGGTACTGGAAGGCTATTCTAAGGTCTCCTCTGAACCTTCACTTCTCCAGGCTGAACAAGCCCAACTGCCTCAGCCCATCTTCATAGCAAAGGTGCTCCAGCCCTCTAATAATCCTCATGGCCCTGCCCTGGGCTCACTTCAATATCCTTCTCCTTCTCATTTTTGGGGTCCCGGAACTGGACACAGAATAGAAGAGGAGAATTGCCTCTGTCAAAGTGATAGCCACACTTCTTTTGGTGCTGTCCAGGACACAGTTGGCTTTCTGGACTGCAAGCACACATTGCCCGGTCATGCTGGGCTTCTCATCAATCAACACAATCAAGTATTTCTTCACAGGGCTGTTCTCAATCCATTCTCCAGCCGGACTGTGTTTATACTTGGGATTGTGCATACCCAGGTGCAGGAAATTGCACTTGTCCTTGTTGAACTTCATGAGGTCTGCAAGGGGTCACCTCTCAAGTCTGTCAAGGTCCCTCTAATGGCATCCTTTCCCTCCAGTATGTCAACCACACCACACAGCTTGGTATCATTGGCAAATTTGCTGCAGGTGCACTCAATCACCAACTGAAGAAAAAAAATGCACCTTCATTCAAACCTAGATGCGTTCTTACAGAAAAATCTCAGCATTAAAAATTAGGAAAGATAAATTTGCATAATAAAGGTTACAAAATTCTGTATTTAAGTGTTACAATACAAAAATCCTCATTCATCTTAAAGCCTATGGATTATTTTCAGTTTGTTTTCATTCTTGCTAAATTAATGAACAGTAACCTCTCGGTACAACACAGCAAAGTAATTCATGATATTTTAATTTTAGTGGATATGCACCAGTGTGCTAAATTTTGCCTGGTTTGTATAAAGGGGATGAAGTAGAACATTTTACTCTAAAAAAAATATATCTAAACAATGAACCACAAACAAAAACCTTACCACCTCCAAACCCCCCAATTTCGTATTCTTAGACAATTTAAAAACATATGAAGATTAGTAACTTAACAGCAACAGTGGTTGCTGTTAAGTTGATATTAAAACAAATTATTCCTTATGTAGTGAGCCTGCTGGTTCACAAAGCAGTTTTATAATTTTTGATCAGTAATAAATTGACTTTGTGAGGCTCCAACCTTTTAACAGACAGGGGAATTGAACCCAGACTTCCTTCATGATAGGAACAAAATCAATGGCAGAAGTGTTAATTGGTACGGTCAAAAATAATCATACAATTATTAAGGTTGGGAAATACCTTTAAGATTATTGATCCAACCATTGACCCAGCACCACTGTGTTCACCACTAAACCACATATACATGTTTTTACGAACATTTCCAGGGATGACGATTCTATCACTTCCCAGGGTGGCTACTTCCAGTGCCTGACCACCCTTTGTAAGAGACTGAAATATTGTTGATGTCTTAAATATTGTCAAAATCAGAGAAAGACTTTGTCAAAGGAACAATTGCCCTTCTATGACCACCAAAGCACCCTGCCCACTTCCCTCCAAATACACCTCCTGACTGGAATTTGTACTGTGACATAAGATATAAGACTATTGTCTAATTATCTCCAGTCTAAGAAGAAGTAACCAAGACTCAGGGAAGAATAATATATCTCAGATAAAGTCGAACTCAGGAGCTGTGCTAAGAATCAGCCCTAGCTGGGCTTGGTAGCTGAGAAGGAGGAGGGTTTGGGGTGTGTGATGGCAAAATCTCTTCACACAAAACGGAAGCAGTAAACCTCCCACTGCAGGAAGACCACATACACATGGGACATTCACGTGAGAGGCAGCTGAGAAATGGTCATAAACCATCAAAGTGCCCCTGAGACTCATTCCTAAGGTCTTCCACCACCAGAGGACTGCATGTGATACAAGGGATGCAACAAATGCAGTGTCTGACAAAAGAGACTGTAAAACTTTCCTCCCCCACGGAAGGTGCTTGGGCATCTCCTGAACATACATTAAACCGTTGGACTCTGTTCTTTGGGGGACACTCACCACCTAAAAGACTAGAAGAAGAGGACTTATGGGACATTGTAGAGTTCCATGGAGTGGTGATATATTTTCTATTTAATCTGTCTCTATCACTCTGTTTCTTCCCTGCCCCCTTCTTTTTCTTTCTATATCTCTCTCTCCTCACATTTACAGTTAAATGAAATCCATAGTATTGACTTCAGCATCTGATCTCATTTGCACCTTAATTTGGACAGAAGCATCTCTCTAATAATTTTAATAACCAGAGCTTAACATTCTTCCAGTGAAGAAATTTTTATTAATGCCTAATCTAAACCTCCCTTGTAGTCTTCCATATTGCAAAAGTTTTGTCCTCTTGCTACTGTAGGGCAGTAATTGTGATCCCACATCCTATTTGCCAGCAGTGAGGTAAATTTACCAACATCCTATTTGCCAACTCTGTCTGCAGAATAGGAGAGCTGCATCAGTACTGTAATCAAAGGCCTCTGGGAATGTCTTCGTAAAGTCTCATTTTAATAACTCAAGTAACCTACCTTTCTGTATCAAAAAGGGTCATAAAAAATAACTTGATGGCAACCCCACCCAGTGGCTCTTCATACCCTGGCAGCATGGATCTGAGAATTTAATCTGATGCTTTGTTTTCCAAGATCTTCCTTTGAGTAATCAGTGTCTGTTCCCAGCATATTTATGATTAATTTTTTTCTCTGTTCCACTTCCCTAGATGTGTTGCAGACACATTTCAGTTATTTTGTCATCTTTTCACAGCTTCTCTGTGTCCCCTGTTCCATTTGTTTTCAAATTAAGTTTCTGTTCGTTCTAGCAAAGGGTGATATATGATTGTGCTTAACCTGAACATCATCAGCATCAACTTCTTGAAAAGTTATTTTAGAAGAGAAGGGAGACCAATGCGACACTGGAAGTCTGGTTCACTGGAAATCAGGATGTTAACAGCATTACCAACACTATATTTTTTGGTAATAATTTCTTATTACTGCCAGAGTTATTGATGCATGCAGAAGAAAAATAAAAAATGATGAATTAATAACACTGACAGAGCTCAACAGCAAGCAATTCCACCTGCTAGTCTTAACCAGATATTTTTCAGACGCCATATAAGAGAAAAACACTCAGAAACTGAGATTGCTGCCATCATTAGCATGGATTTTTCAATTTTTGAAAAAGAAAGGGGAGAGCTAGCTAGTTTTTAGCATGCTCAAAGTAATACTATTTTTATCTTCTCTCTCTCATTTTCCAGCAGTAGATTAATTTGATCTGCACAGTGCTATCTACTTTGCTTGTATTGTCAGGGAATAATTCTCATACTGTCCAAAGCATGTCTGAAAAGAAGCAGAAGCCTTCCCCCATGTACACACAGAAGCAGCTGCAGATGTCCAGTATGCAGGAACCACTTCCTCCTTCATTTCACCAGTTTCTGCTGCTTGGACACATCAGGCGGTATCACCCTGCATTTCCATTTCTTTGCTAGTGAGTAATCCCCATGGGAGAAACAGAGGACATATTTGCTTGACCACAATCTCTCCTGAAGGGCTGTGATGATGTGTTCGTGGTGTGAAGGCTCAGCTGACAGTGACAATGGCAAATGTATTAGTCCTTTCAGTCAAATCAAAATAACTAGTATACGGAGACATATTTCTCAACAGTGGAATAAACTGTAGCTTATCAAACACATTTCTGCAAGAACACAGGAAGGAGATTTGAGGAGATAACTTCTCAGAAAAACCTGTGCCCAAATGTGGGGATCTATCTCTTCACATCTTGCTGGGTGGAAATAAGCAGAGACAGCATCAGTCTCTTCAAGAAGTAAACAGGATACACAATGGATAAAGCCAGCAAGCTCCAGCAATGAGCATGGCCATGTAGTGAGTCTGTGGTATAATAAGCCAATCTACTAACTGGCTGGAAAACACACTCTAATAGGTTCCTCTAGTATTAAAGTTTCACTCTCCTTTCAGTTCCAATATATTTTAATAAAAGTCTATACCTTACTGTTTATTATTTTGTTTTTCTTATCTTTTTTTTCTGCATCATTATGCAGCTTCTAACATGCATAGCAGAACCAAAAGTCTCTTTCTGATTTCATGAATACCAAGAGGAATGTTTTTCTAAGCAATTAGCAATCATACGAAGACACAGTTCCACTCGTAGTTATACAAAGTCAGGATAAGAAAATATTTGAAATGCAAAGTATATCCACTACTAAATTATCAAAAAGACATAATAGCAGGATACTAAATGTGTGGTATGTATATTTAATATTTATTATCAAAATTTACTGCATATAAATTACAAGCAAATACCAGATGCATGTAATAAACATGAATGAGGAAGGTTTTGTACCCCTAGAGCCATATATGATGCTGTCTTACAGCTCTCTGGTTGAAAACATTGTATGAAAATCACTTCACCTTGTTTAATAGGAATTGGATCCTCTAAATCTTCTATCCTGAGTTAACCAACCAATCTTAAACAAGCTTCTATGTTCAGCTAAAAGTTTCCAGCTAAAAACTTCAGAAAGTAATAGAAAGTCAAGTAAGAGTTGAAGAAGAAAGGGAAATTGCAATACCAACAAAGTAGGAAATACAGTATCCCTGGTAACTCAAGAAACAAAAATTACAATTATTTACTTTGTGTTTTGAGTCAGCTGACATTCTGCACATGGTTTAAGGGAACGGGGAAAAAAGATCTCCACACAAGAAGAAAAATGCAATCTTTACTAAATAGTTTCCATTCTGAGAAAAAAAAAGTATATTTTTAGCAGAAGTGTATTCTCCAAATGGAGTTCTTCCACTACAGAAACACATCATAATGGATACATTACATTTTGACCTTAAATATTATTTTAGATTCTTCATTTAATTTTTCAATATTAAAAAAGCATATTGCAAAATATGATCATAATCCTCAGACCACCAGATATTCAAAATATGAAAAGGGAATGTTACCTGGGAAATAAAATAGCTCCCCCAGTCATATTATATGCAGGACGAATGAAGTAAAAACAATGTTTTAGTTTCTCTCTTATCACACAAATAGATTTTATAAAAGGATAACCTATTCTCTTTTAAAAAGAGGAAAACAACCTCTATGGAAGAGTGATACAGGATTAGCAAGAAATTTAGTCATTTTTAGTGGTGACTAAACCAATGTGAAACGGGGGTAAAAATAAATAGATTTCCTGAACCTCTGATAGGGAATTTTTACATCAATCCATGTATTTGGGCCAATAAACAACATTGTCGTATTTTCCATTTTTTGTTGTTTTGTTTTAATTTCTTCTAGGTTTTTTTTTCCCCTAATGTTTTAAGAAATAGTTTAGTTTCAGTAGGTTTTTCAGTGAAATAAATTGTCACCGAAAGAAAAAGACATTTATGCAAACAGTCCATATAGCAGATTACAGCAGCACATCCTCTAGCTAGCCTTTATCTTCTAAAGACAATGACAGCTTAACATTATAGTCACAAATGAAATAAAGCCAGCTCTACTCACCAATTTATGACTATTTGTAGCAATTTCAGCCACTGCTTTGACTGAATGCCATTTGTCACATATCAAGAGCATTCCTGACTCACATTGACTTAAAGGGACAATAAGTTTCCCACGCCCATTCACTTTTCAGGCTGCGTAATAGCTTAGATTGCCTGTCAAAATGTAAAGTTCTTTCTGAGCCACTCTTTGCTCCTGATGGTAAGAAGACAGCACGAAAGAAGTGGCAGAAATCCTAAATCTGGAGTCACTGAACTGTTTTTATTTAGGATGCACTTGCACTGCTTATTTCAAGTCAACTACATGATGCTGATTTTCAAGTGAACAGGGGTTTAACTTAAAGCAGTAAAGGAACACATAGATGAAAGTTTTCTCGAACAAATACTGCCACAAGTCTGTTCATATTTTTATGACTCTATTGCAAAACAACACGTTGATTTTGAGCTCCGTTCCTTTTAATTATTTTCATGTTGGTAAAAGGTGGAAATTAAGAAGGCACAGGACCCTCTGGAGTCACTGACTTCTTTAAACAGCTTAAAAGAAAAAAAAACAAACAGTAGTAAAATACTGGACGGCTACCTGAGCTTTTTTTTCAATCTCATCTGGAAACTTTACTGACAACCAGCTTTTTCATCTCATGGGGACATTTCCAGCCATAACTGCTCCAGAATGTGCTTTTCACAAATTCCCACTGCTGTAAGTGATTAGCCCTCACCACAACAATACCGAGGACAGCTGACTTTTTCTGAAGACTCTTTGACCTCACAGTTGATGCTCATTGGAACTAAAGGTGCAACTGATGGTGTTAGCAAAAGAACTTAGTACTGATTGGATCCACCAGGAACCTCTTGATAGGTAGGGCAGAGAAATAATGGCATTTGACATTCATATCATGCACAGAGCATCATCAGGTATTTTATCCGATCATTTTGAACGAGTAAAGGATAAATGCAACCACCACGTGAATAATGGGATAGCAAATCGACGCAACCCATAGCACAAGTTTTGGCACAAAGTATGAATACAGTGTTAAACTATGCTTATGAGAAACTTGCAGACTACCATAGGTCCACCCCTTCCTTGACACTTTTTAAATACCTCATGTATAAATTCTAACTGAAAAAAAACCAGCCTGCACATCAAATATGTGTACATACTGCAGCTGCATCCTATTCTTCCGAGTTGACTTCAAGTCGTTATCTCTAGCTAATTAACTCTCCAAAAGCCTGTGAAGTCCAGAGATATTCAGATGATATTGTTGATAACATCCCAATTATGATGTAAATTGCAAAGACATGAGGTTAGGAACTGGAAAGAAATGGACTTACTTTGTCCTTATTAGAATGGGTTATTATTAAAAAGCTGACTTAAATATGACAGATTGCATTTCATTTCCCACCAGTCTTTTGAGATGAACATCTTATCTCGAGATACAATGTCAGCAATGTTAATTGCTGTGAAGTACAGCACAGAAGTTCAACTAGGAACACTGTACATTCTGATTCATGAATATGAAAGCAGAGACTGAAGCAAGTGATAAAAGACCCATCTACAGCTAAATGCTAGTAATCTTCATATTGATGCAAAGATCTGCTCAGAACCTGAAATTCACAAGATCTACAAGCTAAAGGCTCATATCATGGTTTATGATTTTCTTTGTTTTTGTTTTGAACTCTGTAAAAACATGATTCCTAAAAGTATGATTCATACCCCAGCTGGAAAACACATAGCTGCCTAATACATTTTCTGTTTTTCAGTACAGATTCTGATAGCATTGTGGGCAGGCAGTATCAAACATTACTCTAAAGGGCTGATCTCAGAGCAGAACAGGCTGTGCAATGAATACTGCACTAGCTATACAAGCACAATTGATTTGTCATCATTTCGCACTCAAATTCTTCCTTGTAAATACTTAGAAGCAAAAATTATTGTTTTTTCTGATATTTGGGGGTTTTTTTCTCTTTAGTAAAACTGCATCAGGGATAACATTTTCTGCAAGCTTGGAATCGGAGTGGACAGTTTTCCACACTGTTTAAATTTGAACTCCTCTCTCCCATGTCCAGAAATGGCATAATTTTGTGCCTATAAATTGTCATTACTGGAAAACACAACCACCACAAAACACTTTATATGTCTTTTATTTTAATACCTACCACTGCTTTTATAATTGTAGCATTTAGGATCTAGCTGAAACTGAGACCCATCCTGGAAGAACTTGGGAGGCACATCTATGAAGAAGCAATTCCTGTTCTGACAGCTTTATCTTTCAGACAGGTAAAATTTAGGCTAATGGATTGGAATTAGATTTAGAATTAAATTAATCAGATTAACAGATTAGAATTTGTATACTTATTGTAACAGGCTCAAAGTCAACATAGTAAGAGATTAAATCATCAGCTAGGATGACTGTGTGTAGCAGGAAAGAATTCACTCTTTCATCATTTCAGCAAGCATCTCCTAAAAAAGTCATGTTTTCCATGAACTTCTCATGAAGTAAGACTCTGGAAAGCAAGACCCAAGTTAAAAATATTTATATAGAGAAGAATTAATGGAAAATTGGTGATTCCTATTCTTTATGGCTCTAGGAAAGATGGACTGCTTTCACAATTTGGTCAGATACCCATTATCCCTTTCAGCTGAAATCACCCCTCTGTAATAGATGACACCATAATAGTGACAAGGCCACATTTCTTTGCTGAATTTGCAACCCAGTTTTCTGGATTGAGGGATTTTGGCCAACTCCACCATAAACAAGTTTGCCCATATTTAATAAAATCCACCAATTTTTAGGTAACTCGATTTGTGCATTTTACTCCCCATTCCACGTGCTTATAGCTTTTCTACATTTCATATAACCACATAAAATCAAAATCTACTATATATTCATAAATTCAAACATGAGAACTGGGATAAACTCCTTGAATTCTGTGGTGATTTTGGTGTTTGGTAAAAACCATAGGTTTTTACTGAATCAAATATAAAAAAAATATTACCCCCAATAATATTCATTCTAATATTCATCTTGAAACTCATTTTTTAATTTTTATATTCTTCCTTTTTTTTTTTTTTTTTAATTTTCAGCTCTCTACAGAACCTCATACAGAAAATATGCCTTAAAAACTAGTTAGAGAACATTCAGAAACTTTAGGAGATGTATAGAGCTAGCTAGTAGTTCAAACACAGAAAAGTGCTGAAGAGACTGTAGAACACACTGGTTGCTGTTTTCTGTCATGTCCGTAAGCAGTGAAACAGTCCACCACTGATTTTGAAATCATTAATGTTTGTTACAGAGTTAATCTTTTTTGGAGTAGGATGGACAAACTTGGCATTCCTCAGAAGAGCATTCAGAGAAAGACAACACTAAATAGCTTCTTGCTCTGTTTATATTTACAAGCATACCTTCTCAAGGAATAAGCATTTCTTCAGGTTGGGG